ATATTTTACAGATCCATAATGATGAAAACAGACATGTAGATCAATGACACATAATAGAGGCCACAGGCATGGACACCCTATTCAATAAATGATGCTGGTAAAACTGGATATCATCTTCAGAAGAATGAGATTAGATCTTTATCTCTCATCACGAACCAAATCATCAATTCAAACTGGACCAAGGACTCTACCTTGAAATCATAAATGTTGAAACTGGTAAAATAAATTATAGGGAAAACACTTTGGAATATAGGTTTATGCAAGAAATTTCTAACTAGCACAGCAATTAGGCCCCATAATTGGCAATTTGGATTACTTTAAAGCAGCGGTTCTCAACCTTCCTAATACTGCAACCCTTTAAAACAGTTCCTCATGTTGTGGTGACCCTCAGACATAAAATTATTTTTGTTGCTACTTCCTAACTGTAATTTTGCTGCCATTATGAACCATAATGTAAATATCTATGCTCTCTAATGGTCTTAGGCGACCCCTGTGAAAAGGTCATTAGAGGCTGAATACCCCCTACTGCTTTCTGGGGGGCAGCCTCTAGCATCACAGGGCTTTCTGGGGGGCAGCCTCCAGCAGCACAAGGCTTTCACAGGAATCCACAGAGTCTGCGAGGTTAAACTTTTCTATCTGAGGGGGGTTAGAGAAAAAGGCACTCACAAGCTCTCTTGATGGTTTCCTTCTTTATTCTCTCTCTATAGTCTCTCTTTTCATTCTCTCTCTCCTCTCATATTTTACAGCTTTTATACCCCAACAGAATCTTTCAGACAGTACAAGAGTCAAAACGGTTATACTCCATTTTTCAAGTGAATGATTACAGCTAAAAATATGTTTCTCATCTCCCTTACATGATTAAACATTTTATGTATTACAGGTGAAAAAACAAATTATCCCAAGAACCCACATACATTCATACCCAAGCAACTTGTTATAGATTAACCGTGGGGGCAAGCAAGGTGTTCATGTCAGGTCATTTACTGGCAGGCTGCATTTTGCAGTTACAAATAAAAGGCCAATTACTTTATTACTTATCTTGAAAAGTAATCTTATAAAGAATCTTAAAGGAATCACAAACCTAAACTTTTATATATGAGAAAGAATCAATCAGCCCTACTTTAAATCTTTAGGGTACATATCCATTCACTAATAGTGTGTGTGTGTGTGTGTGTGTGTGTGTGTGTGTGTGTGTGTGTGTACATATACTTATACACATACATCAGGAGATTGAGGGCAGAAATGGATACAAGGAATTAATCATCACGTTTGGTCATTAACCAAATTTTGCAAGGAGAGTACAGCAGCCAGTAATAATTGGGCTGCTTTGTTCTTGTTTCCTGACCTGGAAAAGAGTTCCACATTCAGCTATACGCCTTTCTAAAACTTTCGATTGTCTTCTTGAGTTTTTCACCTCAAAGTTATTTTACAAAAAAAAAAAAACATCTTAGTCTAACTTTGTTATTTTCAAAGCTTTGTTTTAGCTGTGATGCACTCCGAGACCTGTGAACACATCCTGAGATTAAGGTTAAAAGAATTTAAACTAGCTGGGCTACTGGGACTCAATTGTTAGCCATTAACTTGAGCTTCAATCCATGCAGCTCCTTAGAGGAGACTCACAGACCCTGACTGTGAAACATAGCCTTGTATTTATTTTTATCCAGCAAAACTCTGTATAAGCTATCATTATTAGTATCAAAGTAGACAGTACAGCTTAGAGAGAGGTCATCTTGACAACCCACAGGTAAAAATGCCCAGTAGAACGGGGTGTTTTCAAGAGATAAACACACTATATTCCAGGCAGTGGAGATCTCCCCCCATCTACTCACACCATGCTAGATACCGGAAATAGAGAGCTACAACAAACATGTATAGGCACAGCAGAAACAAAAGACTTCTGGGATCTGTAGTCCTGTGGCCTAGCCTAAACGAGATTGGCCCCTCAGAGGATTCCCTTCTGGTGGGTTGACACCTGGAACTTCACTTACAACTTGCTGCTCCTCCCGCAAGGCCAATGGCAACTCTCCCCCCCACACACACACACCCGTAGGTCACGACCTATGGTGTTTGAGAACCACTGGTGTAAGCCATATAAAGAACTACAGGAGCTCTTTTTCGTGGCGCCTCCTGGGCGGTCGGCTGTGCGAAGATGAAGCTGAAGATCTCCTTCCCTGCCACCGGCTGCCAGAAACTCATCTGGACGATGAACGCAAGCTTCGGACCTTCTATGAGAAGCACATGGCCACAGAAGTGGCTGCCGATGCCCTGGGTGAAGAGTGGAAGGGTTACGTGGTCCGAATCAGTGGCGGCAATGACAAACAAGGTTTTCCCATGAAACAAGGTGTCCTGACCCATGGCAGAGTACGTCTGCTGTTGAGTAAGGGGCATTCTTGTTATCGACCAAGGAGAACTGGAGAGAGGAAGCGCAAGTCTGTCCGAGGATGCATTGTGGATGCCAATCTGAGTGTTCTCAACTTGGTTATTGTAAAAAAAGGAGAGAAGGATATTCCTGGACTGACAGATACTACTGTTCCTCGTCTGTTGGGACCTAAAAGAGCTAGCAGAATCCGAAAGCTTTTTAATCTTTCTAAAGAAGATGATGTCTGCCAGTACGTTGTCAGAAAGCCTTTAAACAAAGAAGGTAAGAAGCCAAGGACCAAGGCACCCAAGATTCAGCGTCTTGTGACTCCACGTGTCCTGCAACACAAACGTCGGTGTATTGCTCTGAAGAAGCAACGAACAAAGAAGAACAAGGAGGAGGCTGCAGAATATGCTAAACTTTTGGCCAAGAGAATGAAGGAAGCCAAAGAAAAGCGCCAGGAACAGATTGCCAAGAGGCGAAGGCTGTCCTCACTGAGAGCTTCTACTTCTGAGTCCAGTCAAAAATAAGTCTATAAGGGTAACAAATAAATGATGAGACCTTGAAAAAAAAAAAAGAACTACAGGAATTAAACACCAGAGCAATAAGTGGGCCCATAAGCTGGATTATCAATAGAAGACATAAAAATGACCAATAATTTTGTTAATTTTTAAAAGTTTGACACTCTTCTCTACCAGAAAATATTACTTTGAGATTCCATCTCACTCCAGTTAGAAGAACTATCATCAAGAAAGCAAATATCAACAAATGCTTTTAGGGCTGCAGGGGAAGAAGATGTCTATGATGAGACAGTGTAATAATGTGCTGCAGCCACTGTGGAAATCAGGGTGGAGAATTATCATAAAAGATAAAAGTAACTCTTTTCACATGTGCAAGGAAATAGAATCAGCTTAGATGTCCATCAACCTTAATTACTGTCCTGGTCTTTATTTCTTTCCTCCATTTAATGACTGGTTGGTGTTTTGTTCTTGTTTTACAAAGCCCTCTATCATAATGTTATTTGTTAACATTTATTATTCAATATTAACACCCATTATTAACATTTATTTAGTTATATGTGTGTGTGCGCCTGTGCATTATATATGTATATCACATGTATGCAGAAGCCTATGGAGGTCAGAAGAGGCAGCAGATTCCCTGGAGTTACAGACAACTTTGAGTCATCTTGTGGGTGCTAGAAGCTGAAACCAGTTCTTTTCTAAGAATAATAAGCACTCTGAACCCCTAAGCCATTTCTCCAGTCTTGTCTTTTCCATGTTATGTAGCCCATGCTAGCCTTGAACTGATTGCATACACTTGGCTGGCCTCACACAGAGACTAACCTTTCCCCTACTTTTGCATCTGGTTTTGATGATCCCATGAGTTTAAATGGTTTTGTTTTTGAGGTCATGAGTGGGGAAAGAAATTGATATCTTTGCACTGGGGAAGTCCACACAGAAATTCTGAAAATAAAAGAAAAAGAAACTCGGCAAACTGAACAGAAAAGCAGTGGAAATACCACCAATAGACTTGGCCAAGCAGAATAAAGATTATCAAGAATGGAGGACAAAACAGACTGTATTCAAACTCAATAAGAATTTTTTAATGAGTATCACACTGTCCAGGAAGTCTGGGGTGCAATCGAAAGATCAAAGACTGCACAGAACAGACAAAGGAGCTGAGAGAAACACTGAAGAATTCGTCTATTAGTTGAATCTGAGGGTCCCTGTTGTAAATATTATTTTAAGATGTGTTACATTTTTGTGTTGTCGAACATTTCTTTAATGATGAAAAGATGTGTTGCATTCTTTTATGTTGCATTTGTTTAATTCTGTGAAGCTGTGTTACTTTGCCTGTCTAAAACACCTGACTGGTCTAATAAAGAACTGAACAGACGATAGCAAGGCAGGAGAAAGGAAAGGCGAGGCTGTCAGGCAGAGATAATAAATAGCAGGAAAAATCTGGGTGCCAGGTAGGATAAGCAAGAGAGGAAAAAGGAGTGAGAAAAGAAGGGGTCAGCCACCCAACCGGTTAGACGTGGAATAAGAAGAAAAAATATACATAAATGAAAAACGTAAAAGCCCAAGGGCAATAGGTAGATAGAATAAGTTTTAAAAACAAGCCAAGCTAAGACCAGGCATTTATAAGAAATAATAAGCCTCCGGATGATCAGGTGATTAATTTGGGAGCTGGGTAGTGGGCTCCCCCAAATGAGCCCAAAGAGCAAAAGAGTAAAAAAACATCCAACTTCAAGTTCCAGTATCAGATTCTTGAGTAGACAATCAGTCATTAAGTATTTATGCACAGTACACCCTGAAAGAGCAGTGTGAATTTTCCTCCTCAACGCCTCTTCATCCCTGAGTAGTAAGAAGCTGGCTTTACTCTTCAAGCGCTTTCCCAGATGCTGTTACAGCCCCGATGTCCAAGTCATATGGCAGGCCTGTCACTGCCCAAGGAAACTTTAAAGTTCCCGTCAAAACCTTGCAGCTTACAAGCAAGTCATGGTGATGGGTGGAGGAGGTTACCATGGAGACAGGTCCAGGGCCAGGGGCTCGGGATGGGGAGGCCCGGGTTCAGCTTCTCATTGGCTCTCTGGACGCGTAGCGTTCCAGTAGCACATGCGCAGTGGCGCCGAGGCGAGGTCGCTGCGAAGCCCAGACTCTGGGGGTTCCGACCGGGGCCTCTGGGGACCGAGCGGGGACTGGCGCGTCCTGGCGGCTCCCGGCTCCTCCCGGAGAGGAAAGCGGTGAAGCGGAGCCCCCCGTGCAACTCCGGGTCGAGCCTGCCACGCAGGCGCCGGCCACGCCGCCGCCATTGTTGCCCGTGCTGCGTGGACGGGGCCGAGCGACAGGTACTGATGTCCCCGAGAGTGTCCACCGGGAGGCCGGGCCGGGGCGAGGCCGGGAAGGGGAGGCGGCTGGAGGCGAGGCCTGAGCATCTCCTCGGGGCATGGCTGCGAATGGGCTGGGAGTCGGAGCCCTGGACGAGTGCGTGTGGGTTCTTCTCCGCTTCTGGATACTTGCAGGGTTGGCTTTGGGGACCGTGCTCTCGGTTTATACTTGAGGGAGCTCCTGAAACGGCCTCCAATCACAGTCCAACGGGCTTGTTTTTCGGGCTCTGAGAGTAGAATATGCAAGGCAATTAAATAGATCGCCTTGGCCCCACCCCCACGAGGGTGTTTGGAAACCTCCAGTTTATCCCAGTAATCGCAGATTACTGTTGCTGAGAACATCGGGAACATCAGTGACTAAGATAGTGAAACGTTTCTTTCTGTAAGATGATTAGTTTTTAATAAGTTATAAATTAGCCATTCTGCTCATAATTGTTTGAATTATTACCTCTACCACCACCGTCCATACACATACATGCGCCTCCTCTAGGATGAATATAATCTAAGTCCAAAGATAGAGGGAAGGAAGACGAGGGTGAGTCCTATGTGTCTGTGCTCTCTGCAGGAGCTGCCTCTGTGCCTATGATGAGTAGCATCGTACACCAGGAATTCTTGAGCTTATGGTCCATTCTTTTTGTTTCTCGAGACAGGGTTTCTCTGTAGCTTTTGAGCCTGTCCTGGAACTTGCTCTTGTAGACCAGGCTGGCCTCAGACTCACAGAGATCCGCCTACCTCTGCCTCCCGAGTGCTGGGATTAAAGGTGTGCACCACCACTGCCCGGCATATGGTCCATTATGCTGGGTAGTTTTAGGTCAACTTGACACAAACTATAGTCATCTGAAAGGAGGACCCCTCAATTGAGGAAATGACGCCTTAAGACTGAACTGTAAGCACGCCTGTGGAGCATTTTCTTAATCATTGATTGATGGGGCAGGGCCCAGCCCATTGTGTTTGGAGCCATCTGTGGGCAAGGTGGCCCTGGGTTCTATAAGAAAGCAGACTAAGCAAACCGTGAAAATCAACCCAGTAAGCAGCACCCTCCATGGCCTCTGCATCATTTCTTGCCTCCAGGTCCCTACCCTGTTTGAATTCCTGTCCTGACTTCCTTTGACAAAAAGTGTGATGTGGAAGTGTAAGCCAAATAAACCCCTTCCTCGCGAGTTGCTTTCGCTCATGGTGTTTCGTCCCAGCAATAGTAACCCTAACTAAGAAACAGGAGCTAGAAGTGGGGTGTTCCTATCCCAGACCTGTCCACATTGTTTTAACGAGGAATGTGGAAGGACGTTGGAACTTTGGGCTAGAAAAGTCATTGAGTTTTGAGACCTCAGTAAGCTGTTCTGTAGGAGCTGAAGATAAAAATGCGGCAAACATGGCAGATGATGGAGGCCTGGCTTGTGAAGATTCAGAGGGAAGCAAACTTGGCATTTTGTGTGGAGGATCTGTGGTGTCTGGTCAGCTGCAACTGAATAGTCTTCTGCGATTCAGAAGAGACCAGCATCACTGAGGTGAAGTCTTCTGGGAAGTGTCTCCTCGGGGTCAGGCACACAGAAGCTGTGCCAGAGGCAGCCAAGGTTCTGCGGACAGCCGAACTTGGCAGAGTAAGAGTCACTCAGGTGGTACTGGTGTGTGTCAGATTGACATAAGATTAACTAGTACAACTGACCCCTTGTCAGCTTGACACACAAACACATCACTATTCAGCCACACCTTTCCTTTCTTATTCTTCCCCCAAATCTCACATTAAAAACATAAATAACTTTAAAATTCCTACTCTTCACAGATTCAAACACATTAAAATTTCAGTCTCTTTAAAATAGTCAATCTCATGCCGGGCTGTGGTGGCGCACACTTTTAATTCCAGCACTCGGGAGGCAGAGGCAGGCAGATTCTGTGAGTTCAAGGCCAGCGTGGTCTACAGAGCTAGTTCCAGGACAAGTTCCAAAGCTACAGAGGAAACCCTGTCTCGAAAAACAAACAAACAAACAAACAAATAAATAAATAGAATGAAATAGCCAATCTCTTTTAAAAGTTCTAAATCTTTCAGTGCAGGGCTCCTATAAAAATCAAAATTAAGGGGCTGGAGAGATGGCTCAGTGGTTAAGAGCATTGTCTGCTCTTCCAAAGGTCCTGAGTTCAATTCCCAGCAACCACATGGTGGCTCACAACCATCTGTAATGAGGTCTGGTGCCCTCTTCTGGCCTGCAGGCATACACACAGACAGGATATTGTATACATAATAAATAAATACATATTTTTTAAAAAATCAAAATTAAAAACCTTCTCCAAGAGGGAAGAACCAGGGCACAGTCACAAGCTGAACCAAGAAAAACTCTAATAATAAATAAATCAATGTCCAATTATCTGGGATCTACTCATGGTCTTCTGGGCTCCTCCAAAGAGCCTGAGTCATTTCTCCAGCTCCGCCCTCTGCAGCACACACAGCTTGTCATCTAGGCTCCAGCTGGCTCCACTCCACTGCTGCTGCTGCTGCTGCTGCTGCTGCTGCTGGTCTTCCCATGGTACTGACATCTCCAAAATGCTGGGGTCTTCTGCTGCAACTGGGCTGCACTCTCACCAATAGCTTCTCATAAGCTCTCTTCATGGTGCCAAGCCTCAACTCCTTTGCATGACCCCTTCAATCCTGGGCCTTCAACTGCCCCTGTGGCTGCATCTTCACCAATGGCCTCTCCGGGCCTCTCACAGTGCCAACTCTCAGCAGCTCTCCATGATCCCTTATGCCTTCAAAGCCAGTGCCACTCAGGTGACTCTTACACTACCAAGTTCAGCTGCCAGCATGAGGCACAACCTTGGCCGCTTCTGGAGTACAGCTTGTGTGTGCTGACCCTGAGGAAGCACTTCCCAGATTTCACCTCAGTTGCTGCGGGAGCTCCTTATGCTCCTTCAGCCAATAGCCTTTGAGATACCAGCCCACTGGGGTGTGGTATCTTTCGCTTTAAAAAAGCAGCAGCAGCCCTCCTTTAGCTTCGGATTCCACTTCTGGCTCTCAGACGCTTATCCTGGTCGTGCAGGAGGCTGTTGTCTAGGAGGCTGATCTGTAAGTTTTTCCCTTTAAATAAGTAACCCTTTTATTAGTCATAATTCCAACCAGGTGTAAAGGAGTACGTCACAAAACAGTCCCACACTTTCTTAGCTCTGGCTAATCAGGATCAACTCTGAAACTTCACAAGCCAGGCCTCCATCTCTTTATTGCTCTCAACGTTCTTATTTTCCAAGCTCCAAGAGAACAGCCCAGTGAGCTCTCAACACTCAAAGGCTGTTGTGGCCCAGAGTTCCAAAGTCTTTCAACATTCCTCCCCAAAATATGTTCAGGTCTGTTACAGCCATATCCCACTAGGCTGATATCAACTTGTTTTAGTTAGGGTTTCTGCTGCTGCGATGAAACGTGACCAAAGGGGAGGAGGAAATGGTTTATTTGGCTTATATTTCCGTATTGCTGTTCATCATCAAAGGAATTCAGAGGAACTCAGAGCAGAAATCTGGAGGCAGGAGCCGATGCAGAGGCCATGGAGGGGTGCTGCTGTCTGGCTTGCTCCACCTGCTTTCTAATAGAAACCACCAGTTCAGGGATGGAATGACCCACAGTGGGCTGGGCCCTCCCCCATCAGTCACTAGTTAAGAAAATGCCTTGTAGCTGGATCTTTTCTCAGGAGAGGTTCCCTCCTTTTGGATAACTCTAGTTTGTGTGTCAAGCTGATATAAGACCAGCCAGCACAGAGGCTGCTGGTCAAAGTACAACCCAGTTTCAGCAAGAGACCCCAGCATTTTTGAGTACCATGGGGTGGTCACCGAGATACAGCAGCAGCAGTGGAGTGGAGCCAGCTGGAGCCTAGAAGGCAAGCTGTGTGTGCTGTGGAGGGCAGAGCCAGAAGTGACCCAAGCCTTTGGAGGGACCCAGAAGAGTGAGCGGATTCCAGACATTGGACATTGAGCTAATTAACACAATTGAAAGTTTTTCTTTTTGTGTTTGGTTTTTTTTTTTTTTGGTTGTTTGTTTGGTTGGTTGTTTGTTTTTTTCCCTGAAACTCATTCTGTAGACCAGACTGGCCTTGAACTCACAGATCGACCTGCCTCTGCCTCCAAGTGCTGGGTTTATAGGTATGCACCACCACCACTCAGCTGGTTTTGCTTTGGTTTATTGTAATTGTGCTCTGGTTCTCTCCTCTTGAAATAAGAAAGTATTTAATTTATTTTTTATTTTTAGGAGCCCACAGTTGAGAGACTTTGGATTTTAAAAGAAACTATTTTTTAAAGTGTTTGATTTTTGTAATATTTGTGGGACTTTTCAAGTTTGAAAATGTTTTATATTGTGATATTGTTGTAGAATATTATTTTAACTAGGCAAGGATGTGTTACATTTATTTATGCTGTGGAATATTACTTTAACTGTGTAAAAGTGTGTTATTTGGTTTTACTGCATTTATTTAACGATGTGAAGATGCATGTTTAATTATGTAAAGATGTGTTACATTTGTTTTACCTTACCTGCCTAAGGTACCTGATTGGTCTAATAAAAAGCTGAATGGCCAATAGTTAGGCAGAAGAGGGCTAGGCTGAGCTCTGGAGCAGACAGAACAAACAGAGCAAAAAGAGCAAGAGAAGAAAGAAGAGAATGAGGAGAAGGAGAGGGAGACGCCCAGGGCCAGAAGCCAGGCATCACCAGTCAGATGCAAGAAGCAGTGAAAGTAAGATAGAAGGAAAGAAAGAAAAGTAGAAAGCCCTGAGGCAAAGGGTAGGTCGAGAAACAGGTTAATTTAAGTTAAGAGAGCTAGCCCAAAAGGAGTCTAAGCTAGACCAAGCATTCATAACTAATAAGTCTCCATGTCATGATTTGGGAGCTAATTGGTGGTCCAAAAGCAAAAGCCTAGTACATGATGTCAGTATTAATGTATGATCTTGGGGATGAACAAAAGAAAGGTTGTGACTTAACAGTGATATGTTTGTGTATCAAACTGACCAGAGATCAGCTGTGCGGGCTAGTTTTATGTCCATTTGACACAGCTATGGTCATCTGAGAGGAGGGAGCCTCAGTTGAGGAAATGCCTCCATAAGATCATGCTGTAGGGCATTTTCTTCATTAGTGACTGATGGGGAGGACCCAGCCCGTTGTGGGTGGTGCCATCCCTGGGCTGCTGGCCCTGGGTTCTATAAGAAAACAGGCTAAGCAAGCCATGGAGAGCAAGCCAGTAAGCAGCACCCCTCCAAGGCCGCTACATCTGCTCCTGCCTCCAGGTTTTTGCCCTGTTTGAGTTCCTATCCTGACTTCCTATGATGATGTACAGTGATGTGGAAGCGTGAGATAAATAAGCCCTGTCTTCCCAAGGTGCTTTTGCTCAGCAGTAGTAACCCTAACTCTGGCAATTCTTGTGTTTCAGGGTCTCGCTCGTCATTTCAAGTTCTGGACTCAGAATCTGTTATAAGCTGCTAGCTTTACTGTGGTTCCATTCTGGCCATGACTGCAGCAGCCCTTGAGGGGAAAAAAATTATTATGACAATAGCATGAGACTTCAATCAATTGGCTCAGTACTGGAAAAATAAAGGATCCTACCAGATTGGTTCTCCCGTTTATAGCAATGTTAGCCTCAAGAAAGAGGATGTCCAGTTCTTCACGCTCACAAGTCCTTCTAATGTGGAAGCCAGACAAGGTTCAAAACGGGCAAACACTCACTTCAAGACTCTTGCGTGACACTGAGACCTGTCGACAGAATTTTAGGAATTTCCCGTACCCAGATGTGGCAGGTCCTCGGAAAGCACTGAGTCAGCTCCGAGAGCTCTGCCTTAAGTGGCTGAGACCCGAGGTTCACTCCAAGGAGCAGATCCTGGAGCTGCTGGTGCTGGAGCAGCTCCTGGCCATCCTGCCCGGCGAGGTCAGGGCTTGGGTAAAGTCTCAGTGCCCAGAGAACACCGAGGAAGTGGTGACTCTGGTGGAGGATTTGACGCAGATTCTAGAAGAGGAAGGTGAGAACTGAACAGCAGAGGGGGCAGCCTCCGTGGGTGGTTAGAGAAGACACTTAGCACCCCTGAGAGCAGCCCCGCCCTTAAATGAAACTGGGGAGGATAAAGGTCAGTGAGAATGAGCTTTAACAGGAGGCCCTCCTGCACTGTGTCCTCTTCAGGGTACTTGGGGCCACTGTGACTTGCAGAGGCTTGCACTGTTATGCTAATAAACCATCAGTTTTATGAATTGGGTTTTACAAAAATATGTTTCCAAAATAGAAGTGTCCAAAGAATATTCGCGTATTGAGACATCTCACAACTTTGTATCAGAGATGTAGAGAGCAGGAGATGTACATAGCCTGGCGGTGGAGGGCTGGCCTTCATGTACAAGATTCAGGGGTCAATGCCAGCACCACCCCAAAAAATAGTAGAGAAGTATGAATTTTCTGCATGTGCTCAGTTCTGAAGCCAGCTTGTTTCTTCAGTCTGCACTGATGGGTTAACACGGTGCTTGGCCTTTGCTCCGACTCTGAAGTATTAATGATGTTTTCAGTTGTTCTCTGCCTTCTCACGTTGAGAAAGTGTAGACATGCCTGGTAAAGTGTGTCCTAGATCATGCAAACAGACTAATCATCATTGTCTTCCCCAGCTCCTCAGAATTCTGCTCTTCCCCAAGAAATCCCAGAGGAAGACCCCAAGCATGCTTTCCAGGCAGGGTGGCTCAATGACTTGGTGACCAAAGTGAGTTTGACTTTCTTTTGTGATTTTAAATTTGCTTTTTAGTGTATAAGGACATCTTGTCCCGGCCTATAACTGCTAAGCCCTCAAAAGCCTCATTCAGAACCTAGGCCTCAGTTTCCCTTGTAAGCACATGTGCCTCCCTTGTCCTCATCACTGTGACCTCAGCCACCAGTATGGGGTAAAGGTTAAGACGAGTCTGACCCCACAGCCAGTGGGATGGGGAGGGGGGCAGTTGGCTCTGACCCCACACGCAGATGGGATCTGAAGTGAGGGTGATTGGCTCTGCTATTAAATCTATGATTTGAGACAAGAGTCTTAACCACTCTGGCCTAAGTTATTCGGTGCCAAGAAGTAGACTTTACCTTTTGGATTGTGGGCTCCGAGTTTGGGATATCTGGTTATCCTAGATGATAGCAGTGGTTGCTAATATCTTTCTTCATCAAAAAGTAAAGGCCAAATATTCTGTGACCAATTGTTAGAACGGAAGTCTCTTATTTAAGGAATAACAATTCAAGCAACATTAAGAGGAGGATTTTTTGGAGGGGGAGTTCATATGTATGTGCACATGTGTGTGTCTGTGTGTAAAGCCTCTGTTACCTAGACTATGATTGTTTTATACATGATATAAACATATTTACTTGGAAAATCAGAAAACCAAGAGGAAATGTGTTAGAAATAATAGAAACAGACGTCTATAGAAAATAGCATACAAAAATGTAACCCATGTTATGTAAAGATCATATGATTAAAATAAAATATAAGATTTAGTCAGTACCATACATGCATATACACAAAAAGAAAATCTTAAAATAGCTAGAACTAAGTCTAGTATGGATTTTGAAGTATTTTCATCCTTTGTCATTTTATGGGACATAAAAAAAACCTTGAATAATTGCAAAGCTGTCATCTCCCTAAATTATAAACTTAATATGATTTTTTCTTCTCAGTTTTTCAGTTGAACAGGGCTGAGGTGGTAGTGTCCTGAGTGCAAGGCCAGCATGGGCTACACACTAAGACCTTGACTCAGAGTTACAACTGAGAAAAAGGAGCGTGCCAGAGTAATGAAGAACCTATAGTGCACAGCTTTAGTCCCAGCACTAGGGAACCAGAGGCAGGCGGATCTCTGTGAGTTCAAGACCAGCCTGGTCTGCAATGAGTTCTAGGATAGCCAGGACTACATAGTGGAGACTCTGTCTTAAAAACATTTTTTTTTTGATGTCCACTGAGAAACCCTGTCTTTAAAAACAAACAAAAAAAATGTTTGGTTGTGAGCCTAGCATTTAAATGCTGAGCCATCTCTCTCCAGCCCCCCGCCCCCCAAAAAAATAAAAATAAATAAAAATAAAAAAGAAAAGAAAATTATTTAACAGTAACAAAAAGTAAATGTCTACAGATGCAGCAGCTCCACGGGAAGAAAAACAATAGGAATAACGAGAATGAACTCTGCATGTCATTGTGGAGCATGTGAATTGTTAATTACAATTTATTCTTAAGGCAAAACCAACCCTATCACCCAGTTTTCATCCTTTCTTCTGGGCTTGAGAGGTGACTTCATAGGCAAAGTGCTTGCCACACAAACATGAGGACCTGAGTTTGGATCCCCAGAACCTACAGAAAGCTAGAAGTGGTGATGCATAACCCCAGAGCTCTAGTGGCAAGATAGGCAGCAGAGACAGGAGAATTTCTGGGAGTTCACAGGCCAGCCAGCAAACAAGAGGCCCCATCTCAGATAAGGTAGAAGGTGATAGCTGACACCTGAGATCGCCCTCTAAGCGCCACACTCCATGTCATAGGCATGTATACACACATACACACACACACACACACACACACACACACACACAGAGAGAGAGAGAGAGAGAGAGAGAGAGAGAGAGAGAGAGAGAGTTATTTTGTTTTCCTTTCTTTCAGTGCTAGGAATGGAATCTGCGTCTAGAGTCTCCTAGACAAGGGGTCTACCACTGAGCTTCACCCAGCCCTTTGTTCTTTAAGATGGAGCCGTTAAGTGCATGTGCTAGTGCCTGCTGAAAACAATATATTCCACCTTATTTTTAAACTGTCCCTGTGAGGACCTCCTAAGGATACTATGGAGTCAGTCACACACTGAATGAGGGTTTTCAGACCTTGAGTTGGTTGGTTGGTTGGTTGGTTGGTTGGTTGGTTGGTTGGTTGGTTGGAGACAGAATTTGACCCATGTAGTTCAGGCTAGCCCAGATCTCACTGAATGCTGGTGTTACAGGTGTGGCCCACCACACCCAGCAGGATGAGACTTAAGGTTCTGTGACGTCCACCACAGACACACACCCAGAGTCCCCACTGTCTCCTTCCTTCCTCAGTAAATCAGCTGAGCTAATTATTTTTGATATTTTAGGAATCAGTGACATTCACAGATGTGGCTGTGGATATCACCCAAGAGGACTGGGAACTGATGCGTCCCGTTCAGAAGGAACTGTATAAGACTGTGACTTTGCAGAACTATTGGAACATGGTTTCTCTAGGTAAGGTCCACATCTCTTCTCCCAAAAGGCCAGTGCAGTGTGTTCCTGTCCCCTCCTTACTGAAATCAGGACAGGCTCCTAGTGGGCCTGACTGACGACACAGTCTGGAGGTGAGAAGTCTCTCAGGCACAGAAATGGTCATATTCTACTGTTCCCCAAAAGAAAGGCTTGCTGGATGGGGCGGTGTGCGTCACAGTGCACAGCTGTCCAGAGCTGCCGCTGGGTGCTGCCCCACACCTTGTTCTCCTGTTAGCTCATATCCATGAGCCACTGTCTCCCCACGGAAGCCCGAGTAGCAGTCAGGTACTGAGGGTGCACAGCTCCTCATCTCAGTATAAACTCCTTCTGTTCTCCTAACCAGGACTGACCGTCTACAGGCCAACTGTGATTCCCATCTTAGAAGAGCCGTGGATGGTGATAAAGGAAATTGTAGAAGGTCCTAGCCCAGGTGAGGAGAAAAGCCGGCTCATGACTTTACACTCAAGAATCTGTGTCCTCAGTGTATTGATATTCGATTCATAAGCATAGCAAGGTGACTGCAGAGGCATCCAGCTGGTTCAAAACTCGGAGCTGTTGGTGCCGCTGCCTTATGGGAAGTCTTCAGGAAGTTTCTGAGCATCATTTTTATGCCTTTGCCAGTGTCTGCACATTTTATCCCCAAAGATCCCAGATCCCACCCATCTCTAGGGCTTCACTGTGCCGCTCCCCATCCCTGCATGCGTGAGTGTGTTAGTAGTCAGGGCTCTCTAAAGGAGCAGAACTGACCGAATGAAATATATTTATATGGGTGATATGTGTGTGTGTACATATTTATTTATTTATTTAAGTGTAATTTAAAGGCTGTGGTCTAAGTAGTCCCATAATGGCTGTCTCCCAATAGAAATGCCAAGAATTGCCCAGCAGTGGTAGCACATGCTTTAATTCCACACTCGGGAAGCAGAGGCAGGTGGGTCTCTGTGAGTTCGAGGCCAGCCTGGTCCACAAAGTGAGTTTTAGAACATCTAGGGCTACACGGAGAAACCTTGTCTCAAAAAATTAAAAACTAAAAAAAAAAAAAAAAAAAAAAAAAAAAAAAAAAAGGCCAGGAATCTGAGACAATATACTATGTCTCAGCAGTCCTGTATGGTGTGGAGTTTCAGAAAATTCCTAGTGTCTGCAGTCTGCATTGGGCTCCTGAAGAATTTGGTCCAGATACAGTGAAGGAATGCCTCAGCAACTGGATAGGTGAATTTGTCAATGAGAGTAAGGGCCACTAGGCCAAAGCAAAATCTTCCTTCTTCTATGTCCTTCTATATGGGCTGCCACCAGAAGGTGTGACTCAGATTTAGGGTGGGTCCTCTCACCCAAGTGCTCCAATCCAGAAAATCCCTCACAGGAGTGCCTGACCACTCAGGTGTTAGCTGATCTCTACTTACCAACGAACCCTCTTGTCTATGTGCAGACAGAGCATCTCCCCTGCACACAGCCCTCTGTCCCTCTGACTCCCTGGAAGCTGTCACTGTCTGTTGATTATGCCTGTGATCCACTGTTATGTAGAAATCTGGAAGATAAATCTGTCTACACCTCCAAGACAAAACATGGGTGTTTAAATAATTGCTAATATTTCAAAATAAGATTCTAATTTGATCCTAGACACACTTATACCTGACATTGTTTGTTTACAGGAAGATGGGTTTTTCATATAAAGTCAGGTTAAAAATCTTGTCAAGGGCTGGGCATATAACTCAGTGAGGAGCACCTCCCAGCATGCACAGGGCGCTGGACTTGATCCCCAGCAGTGAAAAAGAATAAAAAGGATTGTGTTGATTTTATTAAGTTCATTTTACAGTATAAAAGATACCTTATTATTGATATTGCACCTTGTTTTTCATGCGATAACATATCCTGAAAACCATTCTACCAGTAATGGTATGACCAAAACCAAACACCAGTAATCCCAGCACTCAAGAGTCTAAGCAAAAGAGTGGCAAGTTCAGAGCCACCCCTGGTGAACAGTGAGGCCCTTTCTCAAAAAGCTTTCTTTAAAAGAACTCAGTAATTATGGAAAGAGCTGTTTTGGTTTTTTTAGTTTTCCATTTTAATCCCTTCATGTTGTATAAGGAGTGGTGGGCTGCTTCCCGCCACCCGGCTCCCGGCTGCCTGGCTAGCTTATACCCTGAAATAACCATGCAGAAATTGTATTCATTTAAACACTGCCTGGCCCATTAGCTCTAGCCTCTTATTGGCTAACTCTCACATCTTGATTCAACCCATTTCTAATAATCTATATGTCACCACGAGACCGTGGCTTCCCAGGAAAGATTCAACATGTCTGACCTGGCAGCTTCATGGCGGGCGGCTCTCTGCCTGCCTTCTTCCTCCCAGAATTCTGTTCTGTCTACTTCACCTATCTAAATTCTGCCCTATCAAAAGGCCAAGGCAGTTTTCTTTATTCAACCAATGAAAGCAACACATAGAAAGAAGATCCTCCTACACCACCTCCATTCTTTTTTTTTTTTTTGGTAATTTTATTAAATTATAAAAGTTTCCATTTCCGCCCCTCTTCCCACCACCCTTCCACTCCCCCCACTCCCTCTCCTCCTCCCTCTCCATCCCTAAGAGCAGTCAGGGTTTCCTGCCCAGTGGGAAGTTCAAGTTCCTCCCGCCTCCCTCCAGGTCCAGGAAGGTGAGTGTCCAGACGGACTGGATCCGCAAAATCCAGTATATGCAGAGGAAACAAGTCCCAGTGCCATTGTCAATGGCTTTTCAGAAAGACTCCGGGCCAGCCACATTCAGAGAATCCGGCCACATTCAGAGAATCTGGTTGGATTGCGTCCTTGTTCAGTCCCAGTCCAACTGGCCTTGGTAAACTCTCATTAGATCCGTCCCCTTGTATCAGTGGGTGATCGCATCCCTCGCAGTCCTTATTTCCTTTTTCATTTTCTTCCTCCTTCTGCTCCTCATTTGGACCTTGGGGGGCTCAGTCCGGTGCTCCAATGTGGGTCTCCGTCTGTATCGCCATCCATCGTGGGATGAAGGTTCTCTCTGATCTTGCCTTCTTTGCTCACGTTCTCTTTCCTTCTGCTTCTCGTTTGGACCTAGGGAGTTAAGTCCAGTGTTCCGATGTGGGTCTCTGTCTCTATCTCCATCCATCGCCAGCTGAAGGTTCTATGGTGATAAGCAAAATATTCATCAGTATGGTTATGGGCCTAAGCCGTTTCAGGCACCCTCTCTTCTGTCCAGAGAACAATCTGGGGATCTCCTTGGACCTGGGATCCCATTTATAATCAAGTCTCCTGTAAACCCTAAAATGACTCCCTTACCACCTCCATTCTTATCTCCTTTACAGTAACTTGATTTTGAAAGACTGACAACCTGTAGAAAGTTGGAAGTTGATACGTGGAACATAGATGTGCTTTTCATCTTGAGCCGTGAATTATTATTGCTTATTTGAATGTCACAACGATGTGCCTGTCAGATACTTTCTCCCCAGTTCAGAGCCTCATCTGAAATGCCTGTTCCTCCGCTTGCTATCTCCTGTCTTCAGTCTCTTCTTACGTGAAAGCTGTACGCAGCCTCTTTTCTCTTACTGGCTGATCCTGGCTGTCCCCCTTTTCTGTTTGCTTGACTTACAAAGGAGCATGCTCCCTTGTAGTGCTTTCGTACAAACTTGGTTTCAATGAGTCTTGTCCCATACTCCTGCCTCTCCTTTCTCCACCGTGCCCCACCGTCCACCCTCTGTGATCCCCCTTTCTTTTCACAGCTCCTGTGTTCTCCCTAAACCAGGGATCCCTTTCCAGCTTCCGGGCCACTGCTCACATTTATATGTGATGTGTGTTTAACAACTAGAAGCTAAGAGACCAGGGAAATGTCTCCATGAGTAAAGGTGTTTTCCACACAAGCCCGGCCACCTGAGGTTGATCTTTGGAACCCACATAAAAGTAGAAGATAACACAAAATTGTCCTCTGACCCCCCCCCCACATGGCTGTGGCACATGTACCCACATACACATACCATACACAAACTGTTCTGGAACTTGCTTTGTAGACCAGGCTGGCCTTAAACTCACAGAGAAACACCTGCCTCAGCCTCCCATGTGTTGGGATTACAGGTGTGCGCCACCACCACCTGGCTTTATTTTCTAATTAAATAAAAAGGAAAGCATGACAGGAACTAGGAGCCAAGTATGAGGGAAAACTCTATCAGAAGTATATGTCTTCCTGAGCTAGGGTTACCTCACTAAATTCACAGAATTCCACTGTACCACACCATCCTTGTCATCAGCGAGCATCTAGGCTGACTCCAGTTCCTTGCTGGTGCGGTAAGAGCAGTGGGCGCAGACGAGCAGGTGTCTCTAGGCAGGAGGCGGAGTCCGCTGGGTGCTCAGGAATGGCCAAGCTGTGACCTAACAGATCTTTTTTTTTTCTTCTTTTAAGTTTTTCATAATATTTTAAGGGTCTAAGATAGTCTTGTTTACAGAGTGATTCTGATTTCCCTGCTTCCTCATGAATAGATCCAAGTTAAACTGTTTGTTATTTCTTTGACCATTTGTCTGTTTGTGACAGGGTCTCACTGTGTAGTTCTGACTGACCTTAACTCACATCTATCTGTTCCTGCCTCCCAAGTACTGGAGTTCAGAGTGTGCCAGCACATCTGGCCTCAGACTAAACATTTTGCTCATAGTATTTCAAAGGCAATGTACTTTCCATGTGTTTTCTTCAGCCACACAATGCTGATCATTGTTGTCCCTGGCGATGGTCAGTTTGGCTAAGGCAGTGTCTCCCAGGTCTCTCTACTTTAAGAGGGTGTGTTTTTCCCCTGTAATTGTTTATGCAGTTTGCTCTCTGAGACCACATGACTGTTGCATCCCTTGTGTTGTACTGGTTGTACAAGAGTGAGTTCCTAACAGTCATTCTTAGACTCTACATCCTTCTTCCTATCGTGGTTCTATGTATGAACCAGTATTGACTAAATAATTTTTTAATTCAAATCTTTAATACCATTATTAGTCTGTTAATTCTTGGATTTTGTCATTGTTGTTAGTTTATTTTGTTTTTATTTGGATATTCAGTTGCTCCCCTCAGACCCACTAGTTTCTGAGTGTGCCCTTGCTCCTGGCACAGAACATTTCTTTATGCTCATCTTGTGCTTGCCATAGACTTGGATGTCTCCCAGACCTCGACTCATACTAATGGAAGTCAAGATCTGCACAGTGAGTTTTCCCAAGACTCTAAGTACCATTGCTTCCATGCCTGGTTAGTGGGTAGCAAGGGGAAATGTGTAAATAGGTAGCTTTCTAGATTTGTTCTGTTGTTTTTGTTTCTCCAGACAGGGTCTCTCTGTATAGTCCTAGATGTCCTGGAACTCACTCTGTAAGCCAGGCTGGCCTCCACCTCGGGAATCCTCCTGCCTCTGCCTCCTGAGTACTAGGATTAAAGGCCTGAGCCTCTAAAGGTCTGAGTTCATAC